ACCCATCGAGTTCCCAGGCCAGCAGGAACCTTCGAGCAGCCCCGCAGGCCACTGCATTTCCCTGCAATCCCATGACAGCCAACACGCAACTGGGGAGAGAGAGCTGGGGAGAGATGCTTCCCTGGGGTAGATGGGATTCTCTCATGCTCACAGAGACCAGGCCCTGAACTACACCACAGCAAGGCCCTCCCGCAGCCATCAGCCTGCAGGGCTCCTGCTCTCACCTACATCCCCAGCCTAGGCTGGATCTTATTTATTTACCCCTTTCTCGCAGGTGGTAAACAGGGAAAAGCAACCAAGCTAAGAAGGCAGCTGAAGGCTGGCGAGTTGTCTTGAAGCTGCATCACAAAATATCAGTGGTGAGAGAGATACCAGGTCATTAATCAGGGACAGAAATACGTCCAAATAACACAAAACACAAAATGTGCGCTCTATTAGAGGTTGGAGTCACCCTCTCCAAAACACTGTTGCAACGGCAGGGAAATAAAAAAAAACAACCAACCAACCTAAACAGTCATTTACAAATTTGCTGGGTGAGTCAAAGCCTGTTACAAGCAACTGAGCATCCGGGGAGCGAGGGAACGCGCCAAGGACACGCGATGGTACGGCAGCACACCCGGCTCTCCTCGCACACAAACCCTGGCTGGGAAACGACTCCAGAAACGTTCCACAATTTTAATGACTGGTTCGGAACAATCCTCGTCTTTATTTTCTGAAATTTGTTTAGATTATACAAGATAGCTCCTCACTGCGAGCTCATGTGACCAAAAAAACCCCAAACGCAGCAATGCAAAACAAAGAGGAGACTCTCTAATTTAAAGAAGCTGTGCCGGATTTTCGCCATGTTTTAAGCTGCTTTTTTAAAGCAGTATTTATCAGTGCGACCTACGCTTACTCGTTTTGATTGAGTGCATTATAATCTGATTTTTTCAGTGCTAACATCACCCGCTCTGGGATCCAGCAACCCGTGTGCATGTGCGGGGCCCATTGCTTTCACTGCTACCTGCATACGGGTAGCGAGGGAAGAATCAAACCTGTGCCCAACCAGGACTAAACCTAAAGCAAAGCTCATTTTGCTCAGCTCATTTCTAAGCTGCCCCAAAAGAATAACCTGCAGAATAACCGCGTTCCGAATCGCGATGACACCGCGAGCTCCCGCTTACGGGAATGCTTTGGGGCAGGTTGGCGGATGTTTATGACACATTCCAGAGTTTCCTGGCTGATTTTAAAACAGATATTGAAAAAAAAAAAAAAAAAAAAAAAAAAAAAAAAAGAAAAGGAAAATCAAAATTCTGCTTTGCGAAGTTCAGTTTAGAAAACTTCATACAAGAGCTGGACCTGAGCACGGAAGGCTGCGAGTATTCCACCCAGCAGTGAGGACGAATACGTTCGGACTCACAAGTGATTATAACAAAAAAATAAAAATCAGCAGAGATTCTTGAATTCAAACGAAATACCAGATGAGAGAAAATACATTCAAAGCTGTATCTCTTTAACAGCATATTTACTTGCTTTAAGAAACCTGCTTTTGCTAATGCCATTGCAGCCGCGGTGCTCCTGATGGGAACAGGCCCTGAATAGAAATGAACGCGCCCTATCTTTTACTTTACGCAGCCTGCTCAGCTCCTAAATACTGCGGGAAAAAAGAAGCAGCCCGCAAAAAGGCATAAAAAGGACTCATTGGCTCAATGTGGCATAAAGTCAGGGGCACAGCTCTCCATTTGGAGGTTTGGAAATAGAGTTTTACCGGCTCTCCTCCACGTCCCACATCACCGTAACACTTTCATTACGCAGAACCGATCTCTGCCTTGCACTCTCAGTGCAGCATCTGCCCGCTCCTCCAACATGGGAGTACGCACTGCAAAGGCAGTAACATGTGCAACTTTTCCCACCCCTTGACGCCATACATGCATTTGAAAATACCTGCAAGGAACTCCCAAAGTAAAGCAGTATCTCTTCACCTCCTTTATATTTTTTTCCCCTCCGCCAAAGGCATTATTTTAGCACTGTCTGTAGCAAGCTAGAACCAATAGGTCTGAATATTCAGAGAAGTTATTGTAGTTGGAATGAGTGGATGCCCTCGCTGGCCCATCCACCTCCATGCACAGCACACAGCACATCCCAGTTTACGATACTATCTTCGTAAAGAACATCACATTTAAGCAACATTTCCACCCCTCACGAACATCACTGTCTATCTGCATTTTGTTTACAGAACCCCTCCAACTGCACGCATTAAAAACACCTACTGCAACATAAATACAAGTGTTTGCTTTACGATATACATATATATATATGTATGATATACAATCACCCAAGAAGGGCCATCTAAAACACCACAGTTGCAAACATTTAAGACTGTAACAAAAATGACTGCGACTCCAGTATCGGTTTACTATCCTTCAACAATTTCCCTGACAGTGGAGTCAAATAATGTTGAATTATGGACCTTCTTACAGGAAGTCTTATTTCACGTTCATTTTTTGATCATTTCCCCCTGCGTACCTATCGGAATCCGACTGTTTGCTGTTTCTACTTAACACATTTCTGCAGATGACATTGACTTGTACGTGATTCACTTATAATTTGGCCATGTAACGTTGCTCAACAAGTTTATTTCACCTAAGCAAAGCCCATTTTACCCCTCAAAAAAGCCATCTTATGTTGCTAACGTACTTTGAGTGCGGTGGCCACTCTGTTCCCTGCTTTCCTTAAGAGAGGCTTTATCCAGACATACTCCAGGGAAGCGTATCTGCAAAAAGCCCAATTTTACAGCTCAGATTTGAGCACCTGGGAGCCAAGGTGAAGAGCTTCCACCACCCGGCCCCTGGGAGCCGTTCAGAGGATCTGGAGTCCCTAAGAAATGCAATTCCTTCTGTGCGGGTGGGGTTCCGCACAGGACCGACTTTTCCCATCTGCATCACGCAACAGCTGTGTTTTAAATCTTTCCGGGCTACGACAAACATTTGAAAATTTAAACACGCCAATGTTTGAAAAGCTAATGATTAAAAAAAGGTTTATTTTGAAACTCCGGCAATGGGCGAGAGGGTTCAGCGAGGGGTTTAGAGCCACGCTCCCCAGCTCGGTGCTCCCAAGCGAAACCCCAACTCCTGCCCTTTCCTTCTGGAAGCAGCAGCCCGGCGGGTCCCACCCTGGCAGGCAGCGGGGTCGCGCCTGCGGGAGAAAGATGCTATTGGAGTGACCTCTGGCCAGCGCGCCAGTTAAATCACCGAACAATGGCCAGCGTTATGGGGCTTTCCTGCGCAAAATCTGGCATTAGTGTCACTGCCTTCCATTAAGCGGGGGGACTTAAAGGCGCTGGCACGGAGGGGCCTAGGAGGGAAGAATAAATAAGGGGAAACCAATAAATTAAAAAAAAAAAAAAAAAAAAACAACCCTGTTAACTGTAACCTTTACTACCACAATATACGAAAATGTAATTAAACCCATCATAAAAGCTTTTACATACTTACTCTTTTATGACTCTCGAAAGCACAAAGGCGCGCAGCCCGCGCGCACCGCGCACCTCCCGCAATAAACGCACCGCGCGGGGACATCCTAATTAGCCGCAGCGGCGACGAGCACTCAACACCCCATTAGCTGCCCATTAGGGCCCAGATCCTGCCTGCCCCGGCCCCGACGGCGCCGCGTCCCCGGGCAAAGCCCGCGGCCCTGGGCTCGTTCGCGCAACGTTGCGCCTTTTCCCTTCCGCGGAGCTGCGCGCTTCTTGCGCGGGGAGCTCCGGGAGAACGGCCGGCCCCGCGCAGCGCCCGCGCTCCTCGGTGAGGTGTAGGGGGGCGCGTGGGACGGGCACCCCCTCACCCCCGACAACCCCCAAAACTGCAGCTTCGTTTCTTTAGCTTTCGCTTTAATAAAATAATGATTCGTTGGGAAAATGGGGTATAAATCTTCATTTTGGAGGCAATTAAAGTGTTGATTTCATTCGTGCCCCTAAGCGATTCTTGTAATTTGCTCAAATAGCTTTATGTACCCAGCACTCAGAGCTTTTAGAAACCCATTTTCTAGTTAGACTTGTTGGATTACAATTCGGATACAACGGCGACGAGGCCGGCTCTCCCCATCCCGAACTCGGCCGCAGGAACCCCCCATCACCCCCTGCGGGGCAGCGGCATCCCGGGAGGCATCGCCCCGGTCTCCCCCCAGCGCCAAACGCTGCAGCTTTTCCCCTTCGCAGCGCTTCGAGGGCACAAAGCCCGCAAGTAGGAGCCCCCCATCTCTCCTCCCCCCATCCCGCAGCCTGAGTTGCGGGGGGAAATACTGGAGCCAGTGCCCCCGCCGCGATGCAACGCACCTTTCTGCCGGGCTCTACGCACAACTCCTGGCGGTAATGGCATAAGCGGTTGAAGGGAACCGCTGTCTGCTCGGCTGTGCCTTCCTTTAACAAAAGGAAACCTCCAGAGTCGGGAGCTGATTGCTCCTAACACCGTATTTACGGAGCGGATCATACGGGAGAAATAACTTGGGCTTCCAGAGGCGGCTGCCGCCGGCCCCCCCCCCCCCCCCCCCTTTTCCCCCCCCATCCCCCTCGCTGCCCTCCGCTCGAGCGGGCAGAGAAAGCCGACCCGAAAAAAAAAAAGAACCAACTCGCAGCCACCTCCGTTCTGCTCCCGACTTCCCGAGCCCGGCGCTCCCGCACGGGGAGAAGAGAGAGGGGCACACGGCGACGCGGGGTGGGAGAAGGGGAAAAGCTCCTTGCAGCCCCCCCCCCCGGTGCTCCCCCACGGGCACAGCAGCGCAGAGCTCCGCGCAGCACAGCCCCGACCTGGCACGGCCAGAGCCGCTCAGCGCCTCGGGGCTTCGCCTGGGGTTCCGAGCTCTCTCTCTCTCTCTCTCTCTCTCTCTTTTTTTATTTTATTTTTAGAAAACTCGAACCGCAAATAATTCAAACCCCGGGTCCCGTTTTATTTTCTCTCCCCCCCCCCCCCCACCCCTTGATTTTTTTTTTCCCCTATTAAGTAAAATAAAATGGGCGCGTTTGCAGCAGGCAGGCGTGCACAAAGCAATGTTCACTGAAGTCTAAAAGCGTTCGGCCAAGGAAAACTGACAAGACAGACTAATGAACCGTAGAGACGGGAAGAAAATAGCCAGCATTTGCTAGATTTCAAACCCTCTCTGTCTTCCCCGGACCACCTATCTCGGATTTTATTATTATTTTTGTGTACGGCTCCAGCCGTCCCTTTTCTAAGCCACCAGAAGCCGGCGATTCACGGATAACACTTCTATTATTGTAAAGGGTAAATAAAATAAAGACAAAAATTAAAAGCGACAAGAACCAGGTCGAGTTTGCAGGCGACGCTTTTACAAGCTCATCTCGCCAGGTCGAATCCGGGAGCAAGCCTTAATGAAGCAATAATAGCCGCATTATTCAAAAATTTTCATTTCGATGGAAATTTATCTAAAAGGGACTTAATCATATGCAAATAATAAAAGGAGGCGTAGTGACCCGGCGAGCGCTCTGCATACAGATCTCAACGCGCGGCACTGCGGGACCGTACCTGATCGGTGAGGTTTGCCGACCGCGTTATGTCCTCGCTGTCCGATTTTGATCCGCCCTCTCTATCGTCTATGACCAAATCGATAGGCATTTTTCCTTTCAAACAGCTAATATACCGGTGGCAGAAATTGTCACATAATTCGTGTACCTACATTGAGGTG